ACTGTAAATTTTGATGGGCTCAAATTTGGAAATAACCTTTTTAAAAAATGTTTTAGAATCCATATGTTTCTCGCATTATTTTTCATATTTGAAGAGTTTTATAATTTGTTTCTTTTCATTTATAGAAATTTTTCTTTCTTTTAATACTTTTAAAAATATTTGACCTACACCCTGTATATCAAACACTTGAACAAATTATGTCACTTTCTTTCATCTAATGGTCTTTTATTGATCCCTTTCAGATTTACTGGACAGGCATTGCAGAACAGACGAGGAGGAGCTCGGGGAAGCCCTCGAGGAGCAAGACGGGGTGCCAGAGGTCAGGGACGGGGAGGCAGAGGTGGCCGTGGTAGGGGTGGAAACAATGTGTCAGTGCAAGATCTGGATAACCAGCTGGATGAGTACATGTCCAAGTCAAGGTCACACCTGGATACTGAGTTGGATACTTACATGGCAGAGTCAAACAACTGATTTCATGACATCACACATCAGTGAGACTCTGTTCAAGGTGGTTTGAGTTTGATTGGATTTCTATTCTAGTAGTACCTGGAGGACATTGAAAATGTGTGTTGGCCAATTTTGAAGCTTGAGGCACTTGAACATTTGAATCTCGTTTTGTTTTAATATCATGGAGAGGAGTTTAGTTTTGAGATTCTTCCAAGGTGAATTTGTGAATCAATGCTATTGCTATAAATTTCTTTTTTTTTTTTAAAGTTTCAATTGTATTATTGGCATTTACATATTGAAATAAGGTTATTTTTAGTAGGGAGACTATCAGGAGTGTTTGCATAGTAGAAACGAATATTATTGCTCACTGTACTAATAAAAGTTTCAAGTCAAATTTTAAAATTTGGTACACCATAACAGTCACATGCCGTTTTAATTTTTCAAAATATGAATGTAGTGTGGTGATTTGTAAAATTATTGCTTTATTTATTATTTTTTAAAATGTGTATTGTTTTTAAAATATTGTTTAATCATTCAAAATGGGAGCTGGTAAAGTCCATCAACAAATTCCTTTGACGTGAGACACATTTTTAACAATTGGAAAACGGTAAAGAATTGGTTAGATTTGGCAGCACAATAAAGACTGAGGAGTGTAGTGCAGTGTTTCCCAAACTTTTAAGCTTAGCCGACTGGTGGATAAGTTTCCCATTACACCACAGACCGGTGCCAGATTCATTCATTATTTTCATATTTTAAATTGACCTTCTATATGTCATAAAATATTTTTTAATTCATGATTGGACGATGCGAGAAGACCATTAACTACTACCGTTTAACACTATCTGTTTTAGGTTTTTTTGTTATTTAACTTTTATCAAGTTCAATGTAAGGCTCATGGACTGCTGCTGGTCCCTGTGTACCACCATTTTGGGAAACGCTGGTGTTGTTGAGATTTAAACTTGAAGCCAATCCAATTCTCCATGTTTGTAGGAAGTGCTGAGATCTATTAGTAATAATAATAATAAAGCTTATTTGAAAATCACGCCTCATCCCCAAAAGCTCGAAGCGCGGTACAAAGTCATCCATAGTATTATATATGTGACACATGGGTGTTTTAGGTTTTGAGTGTTGATTAAATTTGGCTTTTTTAAAACTTGATAATGTGAATGGAAGAGCTCTGCACCCTTTTTTTTCAAATTGACTTTTATGAGATTGGTGGGGCACATCCCAAGTAAATAATGCACAAACAGTTTTGGAAAACTGAGTCCATACATGCGATGAACATGAGGCAGTAGAACTTAAATTCCAAAAACTGGATATAGTTAATAATCATAACTGTGTGTAATTCTAAAGATATCTGAATATATTGTAGCCTTCCATGTTAACTGTCGGTAAAAGAGACATTTCTGTTGCTGCTGTGTTTGACAGCTTTGTATCAGGCTGACTTATGTCCATTTTGTACCAGATCAGTTTTATCAAATTTACTTACCTACATATACTTGGGTGCTCTTGCTCCTCCTGGAGACCTTTGCATATCACACGTAGATACCATTATCTTGCTGCACTTTTGTTGCTGGGCTCTATTCTAAATCACTAATAAAAGTTTACTCTAGATGTATATAGATTTAACAACCAATGTTGCCTCTAAGTTTTGCTGGTTCGTGTGCAAAATCATACAGTTGTGTACAAAATATACAGTTGTGTGCAAAATTTTACATCAATTTGTTTGTGTGCAAAATTTTACAGCCCACAAACACAAACTCACACATACATGAAAATTTGCTGCGCGGATACTCAAAACTGCTGCACAGCGTCTGTGAGATAGCTGCGCGGCCGCGCAGCTTAAAGGGAACATTGGTCACAACTACATCACTCTACCATAAAATCTTTACACTTAGATTACATCTGTATGAGTGAATAAAAGTTTCTGTGAGTATTTGTATTTTAGTGGCCGTGGGTTGGGTTTAATTTAAACCTTTCATTTCATTGGCTTTCCTATCCTCAATCAGGAATTTAACAACCATTAAAAAAAACTGCTTAAGTTGACTTCTTTTCTCACTAGGATGTTATTTTTTTTTCCTCATGGGGTCTGAATGTTATAATTTCTATTTTCTGGTAGTGCCTAAGTTGCGAGAGTATTAATTTAAGCATGGCTCTGCGAGTCCTTGAGAAGTTTAGCAGGTGAAATTGTTAAGCTGCCTGAAGTCAACTCCGTTGAAATAAATACAGTAATGAAAGTAATGTGGATGATACTTTTTAGAAGGTGACCCTGAAACTGACTTTGAACTAGTAATAAATTGTGTTGGCAGGGAATTTTTAAATTTAATAAATGTTCAACTCAAGATAGACTGTATTGAAAGATTGTTTTAAATAAAACTATTTTTTGTCACAATTATTTCTATTCATGTTAATCTATCATTAAGTATTGAGTTTGAACAAATGAGGTCTTGTCGTTTGTTTGTTGTAAAAGATTTTTAAAAAAAGTATTTAGTTTTCTGGATTAATCTCCCCCCGCCCCTTTTTTAAAATAAAATTAGTTTGTTTAGCCTAGTTTTGGGAGGATTCACATCACAAGTAATTTAAGCAGGAGTAGGATAAAAGCAATTTGGGTGTTTTTTAATGATACATTTGATATTCTCAGTTGACACATAGCTTATAAGCTCTAAATAGTCAGATGTCGTAATGGATATATAACGTTATTGCAAGAACACACAGTATAGCTACAGGGTACTTCAGTGATTTTCTACTGTCTGCAATTTAAGAGAAACCTAAAATGTCTATCATATTGTGCTGAACATTATCGTCTTTTGTAATTAGAATTTTTTTTGCTGATGTGGGGAAATTAGTAAGTCGATTATAAGTTCAATTCAACTTTTAGTTGAGATCATAGACAAATATTAGTTACTGGTATTACTAATTCTTTCAAATGACCTCCCTTGCCATTATTACAAATGAGTTGTCCTATCTTTTGGGACAGTTACATAATAATATGTCATTACTGACTATTTAAGTAGCTTTTTTCTAATTTTTTTGTGTTTTACATGAATGTTTGTATAAAAGCTTGAACAAATTAAATATCTTTCTGTTTGCTTGTAGTAGTGAAGTCTCCTCATATTTTGTTAACAAAACTTGACATTTTCTAAATAGATTTGTTAAAATTATTTTCACATTGTCAGCTTTGAAGAAAACTTTGTTGATCTGGAATGGCCAGATTGATTTTTGTAGTTTATTATTTATTGTAGTATAGTGTGTGCTCTGAAGTAGATTGAAATTAGGTCTAAAATTCACATTGTCAGCTTTGAAGAAAACTTTATTGATCTGGAATAGCCAGATTGATTTTTGTAGTTTATTATTTATTGTAGTATAGTGTGTGCTAAAATGGCACTTTGATGAATCCTACTTTATGTGTTGTACATGGTGAGATGGAAGAAAACTATGCGATTTCTCATTGTACTGTATTCATCTATCATCTCAACATATTATGTAATACTTGATCAATATACAGTCCTGTTGGCCACACCTAGTTTTAAAAAGTGCATTTTTTGGTTATTAAAAAAAACCTGTTGTTCTGTTACTGAACATCAAATGTTCAAAATGCCTTATTTAAGCTTAAATATCATTGAAAAAGCATTTTTATTTGGATTCTATTATATTTATAATATTACTGTGAACAGAAGCTAAGATCGTTTTACCATGAAGACAATTATAAATGTGATGCAGATGGGTCATACTTTCTGTGTTTGTTACTTAAAGTTAAATAATTATCGTTGTTAGTCCCAACACCATTTATTATTTTTTCTTCAAATGACAACAATAAATTGTACCAGTTATTTTTTTTCAATTGTTGATTTTGAATTATTTAATAGTTATATTTATGCTTTTACAGTCTTTTGACTTGTGCTAAAGCATCATTGTGCTAATTGTTAAAGTGTATTCTCCAATGGAGAATACTTTTTTTTACATGGAAGCTGAAAATATCCCCTCCATTTATTCCATTGTCTTGGTCTGTTTATTAGGAGATTCAATTGAAACATGTTAGTCTTAAAAATATCCCATTGTAAATGTAAGGCTATTTGGCTTTTAGCCAAACTCTTGTGGTTGCACTAAATGAAATAGGCTCAACTACAACACATGTTCCAACTTATATTTTTATGTGTTACAGTAGTCAGGTTGCTTAGTGAAAAAAAAAATATATATATATATATTGTATCTGTATAAGTTTATTTACTGGAATCAAAGTCATTATTTTCCAACACACTTGGCAAGGCACTATGTACTGGAAGCCGTGGCTATATTTAAATTTCCCAATGCCTTCTCACACACTTCCTATTTGTTAGCTGACTTTCTATTAACTTTTTATGGGAAATATCCAAACATATATGTTAGTTCCTTTATAAAATTCAGATGTAAAAACATCAACTGCTAAGTTCCAAGGGTTATGAAAACATGCACAGTTCTGAACTACCCATGTTTTTTTCCTAAGTGCCGAGTACGAGTGAGAAAAAAAAATGAAGTGGGGTACATTTTTTATTGAAAAATTCCTAAAAGATTGACAAAGACGTGGATGTCCTTCTCTACAGATGTCAATGACAGAAATGTCATGTTCCTAACAAATCTCCATAGAGATACATCTACTTCCGTGACACAAAGTAATGTAAGAGACATTGGATGAATATCACCACAAACAGCAGCCCATACTGCAGTCTGCTTCCGGTCGCATTGCCATCTTTCTTCAATGCTCTCTCTGCATTCAAATCCCCGATGGCAGAGTTCCACGCAAAGTTGCGTAGAGGAATGATGTAGTTGTCCATGCGGACATAGTTGATGTTGTTCATTCTCTGTTGAAAAGATGAGAACAGGTTCCTTGTCTTGCTCCTGCTCATCTTGCGACAGTTGATGCTTCGAGTGGTCGAGTAGGATGAACTGAAGCCCCCGCCACTGCTCATCGGCTGGTCTCCACCACCGAAATCTGGTTTCATCTTGTTGAACCCCAGAAATTTATTGGGAAACGTGGGGAGGCCGTGTTTTTTCCTGCGGACAGCTTGCTTGGTGTCTGGAAAATGATCCGTTGTAGTTGAAGTGCTTGATCCTGTTCTCAGATCCTGTGCTCTTTTAGTTTTTCCAAGAACTTTCTTAGGGCTGTGTGTGGCTGAATGCCTGTCTTTACTCTGTGATGGAGATCTGAGCTTTTTTCTTACATTGGAGTTGGGCCTGATTTTCTTAGGTGACAGCGAACCCGGTCTGATATTGGGGGACAAAGAGGATCCACTCATTCCAGAGACTGAACTTGGGATATTTTTTCTTATTATTATTTTCGGCGACAGCTTTCTGCTTTTCCATGAAGGCAATACTACCCCTCCAACCTGTTTGAAAGGTGATATACTCCCTCCTGTCTTCTTAGCTGGTGACAAGCTCCTGTCTGTCTGTTTAGAAGGTGATATGCTCCCTCTGGTCAGTATAAAAGGAGGCATAGTCCCTCCTAACTGTTTAGAAGGTGACACACTGCCTACAGTGTTTTTATGTGTTGATGGTAAAACCATTGATGCCCTTGAGAGGGACGGTGAGTTACTTCTTGGTTTTGAATTTAAGGGTGTTGCATTTAATCCTTTATGCTCTGCCAATTTCCCATGCACTTTTGAGGGTGATGTACCAGACCAAGACGTTGTAGTTTCATTCAATTTGTTTAACCCAGAAGATGGACCAGTGGTGAGCCTTGAAGCTGATGGTGAACCGATGGCATGCTGCTTTTGCACAATGGAGTTATTCTTTGTCTCACTCAGAGAGTTGGCTGGATCATTCTTTCTCTGTTGAAATGAAGAATCATTTCTCTTGCTGTTGATGGATGGAGAGACACTTTGATCTTTATTCCAGATGGGGGATGCGGTCATACCTGATGACCTTGAGAGGAGAAGAAATGGACTGTTTGACATAGCGGGAGCTAAGTCTCCTTCAGAGCATCTTGTATATACTTTTTTTATGACAGTCCTCCTAGACACACATGGTGAGGTACTGCTTCTCTTTAGACGACATGGTGAAACACTTTGTCCAAGGGGAGGTGGGCTGGAGACCTTAATGGCAGTGGGTTCTGAATGCAGTTGGATTCTGGGTGGACTTTTTTTCCCCTGGGCCAAGTGCATCAGGATTGTCCCATGAGTAGAAGATGGTGACCGAGGTCTCGTGTTCCTGCTGAGTTTTGAGCGACCTCCCACCGAAATCACAGATTTTGAGGTATTTGTCAGACCTTGGTTTTTCTCGTGAGCTTTCTTTGTTTTCTTAGCAGGGTTGACTAAAATTTTTCTCCGTTTTTTGGTCAAGCCTTCCTTACAGACCCCATGCTTGGATGTTTGTTTGAATCTGCAGGTTTGTTTTGTCTCCCCTTGGTTCTTATCCCTAGACTGACGTCTCTTCGTGTCTGCTGGTGGCACATTGTCAACAGATAACTTTTGATCTAGACATGAGCTACTGCTGACACACAGCTGTTTGGGGGCTTTAGCAATGGGCACAAACAAACTAGAGCTGGACTTTTTTAAGATTTGCCTACTATTGTCTGACTCTTGGGGCCTTTTACTTTTCTTTGATTTTTCTGACTTCTTTAGCTTCTTAGGACGCAGCCCAGATGAATCTCCAAGACATGAATGTTTCTCATTGGTTGCAGTTGGAGGCGACCTGATGTGATAAAGGAGTTTCTTTTTCTTTCTTACCTGAGCAGAATATTTGTTAGAACATGAAGATGAATAGATTGGATAACTTTTATCCAGAGAGCTGGATATACGTGATGAAATCTTCTTCACCAGGTCATCACACTTCTCCACTTTGTGCAGCTTACTTCCTCTGTTTCTTGATTTAGGAACTGATGATTTCCTGAGCTTTTTTTTAGGGCCTCTTTGTTTGGGAATCTCCAGCTCAACATTTAGAGGCAAGGGAGATTTGGGTGCCCTTTGTTTTGGCATCTCGCGCTCGGCAATGATAGGCAAAGGGGTTCTTGTTTGAGTGTGAGTGTCCACCAATTTAAAGCATTGAGATTTCCAAAGCGCATATGAATCAAGCATCATCTTCTGGTTTTTCTTATTAGACTTGCCTGCTGAACGTTTCTTTCTGCCAGCTATCTGCAGCCCTGATGGTGTGGCTGGGTAGATTTGACCATTGGCGTGATCAATCACAAACTTGCACTGCTCTAGCTTGGCCATGTGATCAAAGAAACACTTTTGGAGATCTGACTGCAAGACTTCAGCCTCGTTCAAGTCTTTTTCTGTCTTTTTCTGTTTCTCACCATTAACTTTGTTTAGGTTGAATTTTCTGTCAGGTAAGGGGACACGATCTACTAGCTTGTTGGGGTCTGGCGTAGCAGCATCCAAACATTTTGTCTTCTGATTGTCCTTCATGACATCTGAGCTCTCTGCACTCGTCACCCCACTCGCTGTTTGCCTCTTCGTTTTCATGCCATCAGTGTTGCCAGTGGACTTCCTTTTGGTTTGGCCACACCTGCTGTCACCATCACTACTGCTGAAAGCCACACTCGATCCAGCCAAGATTGTCTTATTGTGCTCACAATTGTGGGATCCAGTGGTGCTTGTCTTGCGGTCCCTTGCCCCCCTGGCGCATCTTCGTTTTTCAAATGGGATATTACCTAGCAGCCAGCTCTGATAGTCTATCACCTGGGGAGAGGTCAGGCCTAAAGTAAAGTTGGACAAGATCTTCGCTTTAGGACAAGCATGCGATAGCTTTTCTTTGTTACGCTGTCGATTAGGAGAAAACTGTAGAGAGATCTCTTCCTGAGAATTGGTCATTGAAGCTAAATTTCCTGTAGACTGACGGTCTGAAGCCAGATAGACATGGTCACTCTGTGAACATTCTGAACTAGAAATCGGTGGGGGATCAAGTAAACCTCTAGTGTCCTTGAGTTCAGGGCTGCTTTTACAAACAAGAACTTGTTTGGAAACCCATTGATGTGGCTCAACTGGCACACCACACTTTTCTTTTGGATTAACAGAGGCATAAGAGGTGACACTCTGATCCCTCCCCACCAGGCCGTGACCATCCGACGGAACCATGGTGACGACGGGGGATTTTTTTTTCAAAATGGGTTCCAGTTTGTTGCCATGTCCACCTCCGTCTGCAGGATTTACATGAGGATTGCTGGGAGAGGGTGACAGTGACTGATTGTAGTTTCTCTGATGTTGGTCCTGCTGGCCAGCTGTGGTGTTGGGCCTCAGCTGTAACAGTATGCCGACTGGTGCATTTTGGCTCTCAATGTTGTGGCAATGTACATCATGGGCTGCATCAGAAAAATAGATCATTAGATGGCAAGTAAATATCAATCCAATCAGACTTATCGGACTAAAGAAACTATTGGATCAGTTTTTCTCAACCTTCCTAACGCCGCGACCCTTTAATACAGTTCCTCATGTTGTGCCGACCCCCAACCACAAAATAACTTTTTGATGCTACTTCATAACTGATGAGTATATGTGTTTTCCGTTGATCTTAGCCGACCCCTGGAAAAGGGTCATTTGATCCCCAAGGGGTCACGACCCACAGGTTGAGAACCGCTGTACTGGATGGTTAAGTCAATAGGTAAGTTACATTTCATAGATGTACATTATATCTAACAGGAATTATATGTCAATAATTCATATTCATTGTTGTTGCTTTATCTAACAATGGTTTAATTTATTCACCCCACCTGCTAAAACTACCCAGTAGACTCCTAGTTCAAGTAAAACAACACCATGCACCATGGATAGGTTTTAAAAAAGCTGCTAATGTAATAATGAAAACTCCTCTCCCACATAGTGTTAAAAATTTATTTGACAGTGCCTTCAATGAGAATTTCATTTTAATAATGATAGATCTGTTTTTTTGTAGATCCATATTTAAACTGTGTTGTGCAACTAAGTTCACCCTTATCAGAGTTGGACAGGTTAACTTCAACTTTAAAATAAATGAAGGAAAAATATGAACAAACTAGACACAGACTCCTGAGTAACTCAATTCTAAGTCTACTGCACTGTTCAAGTTATTCATCAAAATATAAGATAATAATATTATTTCCTAAAAATGAATGGAACTTAAAACTACTGAATTTGAAGCAAAAGAAGTAAGTATAAGTATAAGGAAACTTATTACTGAAATGAAGTGGCTATTCGTACTCAGGAACCAGAAGTGAGAGGTTGAGATTAAAAAACTATTTAAAATTTTATTGTTGGGTTTGTAAGACAAAATGAGGTATCAAATGAAAGATAATTGAATGGACTATATGTTTGTAAACTTAATTCTTCAGTTTAACTAAAATAAACTACCACAAATTGGATATTGTATATTAGTTAAGGGGAAATTTCTCTATATGAATGAGTTTGCTTCATCTTTATGTTTCTATGTGTTTGTGTAAAAATGCATTTATTAGGGCTACTTTGTGAGATTAATCGGTGTTAACGTGGCTAAATTTTTTTAAACCTCAATATTGTGTGATGCTGAGAGGGTGATGTTGACATAAGAGTCAGATATTGACAATTTTAGCCCTAAGCTTAGTCGTAGTGTTATGAGCAAATTCATTTGGGTAAGGGTGGAAATCCAAAAGAAAAGACAAAGATTGGATCCCAAAGACCTACTCTAAATATATTCAAAGACATAATTTATGTTTGTGTATGTACTGGAGTATTAATTAATTTTAAAAAAATGGATTTAAAGACTTCATCTGAAAAGGAATTTTTGCACTCATTTAGTGCCCCCACTAGTATTTTGTATGACAGACATTTGAAGGTAGTGAATGAAACAAAATTCACCACTATTAACATTTTCAATATAAGTACCCATAAATTCACATTTTTGAAATAATATTGCTACTAGTCCCTCAAAAAAACTTGATTTTATGATAGTTTGAACTATTTATGGAGTATTAGGTTGGGTTGAATGCAGAATTTGAGTAGTAAAATTTTACTCACTCTGTAAAGGTCGAGGTCAAAATCAACATACATAATATAAAAACAAATTCTTTTCCAATGTAACGTCAGAAAATGTATACCCAGTACTTGTAAGGGTCTCTGAATTTATTTAGTATGGTATTTTGTCAATTTTGACGACACTACCGTAAATGCACTCGACAGTTATGAGGCTAAATATCCCCTCATCTTTAACTACAGTCCCCTCACCAGTTGATGTCTTTCTCTCTTAACTACACTCCCCTCACCAGTTGATGTCTTTCTCTCTTAACTACACTCCCCTCACCAGTTGATGTCTTTCTCTCTTAACTACACTCCCCTCACCAGTTGATGTCTTTCTCTCTTAACTACACTCCCCTCACCAGTTGATGTCTTTCTCTCTTAACTACACTCCCCTCACCAGTTGATGTCTTTCTCTCTTAACTACACTCCCCTCACCAGTTGATGTCTTTCTCTCTTAACTACACTCCCCTCACCAGTTGATGTCTTTCTCTCTTAACTACACTCCCCTCACCAGTTGATGTCTTTCTCTCTTAACTACACTCCCCTCACCAGTTGATGTCTTTCTCTCTTAACTACACTCCCCTCACCAGTTGATGTCTTTCTCTCTTAACTACACTCCCCTCACCAGTTGATGTCTTTCTTTCTGAGAAGGATGTATCTTCCAGTTGTCGAAATACATCACTGACTGCACTTGAGTCATCTGCACTTGCTTCTGTAAAGCAGGGTTTGGAAACTTCAATACATCATACACATTGGCACACATAGTAAGTGAAACAGTCAGTCTTCAATGAAAACATGTGGACCACATAGGATTCATTGGAGACACATGGACACCCATAGTGTTTAGTGGAGACACATGGACACGCACAGGGTTCAGTGGAGAATCTTTGCACACTAACACACATGGTGATAAAACTTGTATCAGTTTTGTGGTTTAGACCATCTTAATTCCATGAAGTTTAGCAGATTAAACAAACACTTAATTTAGGCACCAAATGTTAGAAAAGACTGTTACCATAGTGAGGCTCTGCATGCAGGCTGTGAGAAGGAGAGCTCGAGGCAGGCTGCTTATACCTCTGCCTCCAAGTCCCAGATGTCTTGTGGAAGGCCACAGGCATAAGGGGTGGCTTGCCCGAGTGTCTGAGCCCCGCACCATCCCCAGCTTTCAGTGACTGAATAGGATGCAGCTTGTGTCCACTTAGTTCAAAGCTGGGGGCTTCTGAAACAACAAGAGCAACAGCAGTATAGCTGGTAACATAAGCTTCACAATGTCCTTTTGGTCATAAAATATAAAAGTTTACTTTAAATACCTGCTAAAACATAGTGTATTTTTAAAATAAAATGTTAACTATATTTTTATAGAACTGGAGTACAGAACACACGTGTTATGTTTACCTTGAAATCACATTACCAGTAATGTCTTTAATTACCTTTGTTGCCTATGGCAGGTGTATATCAGTTATTTTAATTGTCTCATCATTACCTTGCATAAAGTGCTTAGGGGCCATCCATAAAAGACGTCCACCAATTTTTTGCTATTTTTTACCCCCCCTCCCCCCCTGTCCACTTTTGTCCACTTTTGACTTGACNNNNCCCCCCCCCCCCCCCCCCGTTTTGGACGTCCAAAATATAAAATTTACGGAACTTATATTAATGAATATTTTGGAAATATGTACAACAATATAAAGAGTATGTTTTTACAAAGATTTTTTTTAGAAATTCCTATTATTTGCAAGCAAAATTCTAAATGAAATAATAACTGTTCAAAAACATTTTATTGAATCACTGTATTAAAAAATGTGATAAACAAATAATCCACCATTTATGCAAAACTGCTGCACTCAAAAAAAAAACACTACAATGTGGACATCCACTTTGTCCTAAACCCCCCCCCCTGTCCACTTTTGTCCACTTTTTGCTGAACCCCCCCTCCCCCCTTTTGTGTGGACGTCTTTTATGGATGACCCCTTATGATGGTCTCTCTCTTGCACAACATTTACCTGTTTGTTCTTCAAAATGGTAGACAGACACTGCTAGATATTGTAATAGTTTACCTGCTAGCACTTGAAAGCCATAGGCATATATTTTTGCATGTTGGTGCTTCAATATCAGAGGTATATATTTCAATAGCAGAGTCAGAGACAGACATTGACAGACTGTTTGCATTTTTACCTGTTGGTGGTCCATTATTATTAGAGGATTATGACTTTACCTGTTGGTGCTTCAATACCAGAATCCGAGACAGACATTGCTGGAATGTAAATATTTTTAGCTCGTTTAAAGAAGCAGACTGATCCATTCATTGGTTTATTTTCCATGACATTGAAGAATGTCTAGGTCCTTTGGTCTCTGTGATCTTTGTGCCACAGCTGCCCATTGTAGTTTAGATGTAGAAATCACCTTAGTTTAGATTATAAAACCTATTGTAATGATTTGAAACAATTTTAACCCAAAAATCATAACTCATGCACTGAACCAGGGTATTCTCACCCTTAGTGGGTGTGAGGGAAAGTTGTTATTACAAGGACAGTGGAGCCATTGACTTTTGAATTACGATCTAAATATTTTTAAACTTACTGGTTTGTTTTGTAATTGAAATGAAAATAATTATAACTATGAGTAAATTGTTTTTCAAATTTTAAAAAGCATTGCTACTTGTGAGGAGTGTGACACTTAGATCTGTGATTCAAAGTCAAAGAGGTGTGAGACCTAGTGAAAGATTCCTTGGGGATGCAGAGTATAGAGAAGGGTTGGGAAACGCTACCCTAAACGCTCCCATTGTCCAATACACAATCTTCATTAATGATACTTTCTCTCCTCATATTTGAACCTTATCAAAACTAGGTTCCCCTCATTACTCTCCCCTGCTATCCAAAGATTACCTGGAGTGTCGTTGAAGCAAAACTCCAGTCCCAGTAAATTTTGCTGGAGCAGCACCAAATTCTAAAGCTATCACATAGGCTGAGGGCAGGGATCAAGTTTTGAATATGTGCCACACTTCTAGTAACTTCCTAAACCATAGTATTCAGTATTTGAATTCTAATAAATTGTTTTGTGGGATTATAGTGTGGCTGATTCACAGTGATTCTACTACAGCTCATTTTAAAGATATATGATTAAAATTCACTTTTTGACTCACCCTATGCACACCTCTTGTGATTGATTGTAGCCTCTGATGCTTAATGTGAGATTATCAAGGAATTTGGTTAGCGTTAAGCATTTGCCAATATTATTTTTTTAAATGATTTTTGTTAACTGATTTTAATTAGGCAATATCAATACTATTGATAATACTATAGGCATAGGCCAACAAAAATAATAGCCTTAATTTTTATAAGGGCATGGGAATTAATTATTTTTTAAAGAATGTAACTGCTAATAATATGATAATATTATAATTAACATGTAATGTAAACTTATTTTTAAAAAAAAATATAATAAATGATTAAATTAACACAATCATGACACAAATGAGTTACAAAGTGGCTATTCACACCAGGCTACCAGAAGTGAGAGGTTGGGATTAAAAAATATTTAAAATATTATTGTTGGGTTTTTAAGATAAAATTTGGTATCGAATGAAAGATAATTGAATGGACTATATGTTTTTAAACTTAATTCTTCAATTTAACTAAAATAAACTACCACAAATGACATCCGAATGGTATTAAGTAAAAATGAACCCGGACACGCATCGCCGCTATTCGGACCCAGGTCCCATTAGACTAAATACTATTCGGATGTCATTTGTGGTAGTTTATTTTAGTTAAACTGAAGAATTCAATAATCTTTTATTCGATACTAAATTTATTTTACAAGCCCAACAATAATATTTTATATATTTTTTAATAAACCCAACTTCTCACTTATGATACCGGGTCCACAGCCAATGAGTTATTCGATAAAAATATTCTGTTTGATTGCAACGTATTAGATCCTAAATGTCACCTCTTAAAATAAATCAATCTGCTCGTTTTTTCTCCTCTAAAGATCATTGTCTTGGTTTTATTATTTTAAAAAAAAGCATGTAAAAAAATAAATACAAAACTGAATGTGAAAATGTAATCTGATGGTGTTGACTTTGGTTCACTTCCGGTGCACATAAAAGTTCTATGATGAGAGTTTTTAAAATAAAGAAAATGTTAAAAAAACATAACTTCTAGAAGTTTAGTTACGGATTTTTACTGTGGCTTACGAAATAAAATTATAAATTTATAGGTTAAGAGTATTTAAAATATACAAATGTAATTTTCATGGTCGAAAACAAGCGCTAAATCAGTGGCGTTGCTAGGGCTGGTGTCACCCGGTGCGGTAAACTCATGGTGTCACCCCTCCAGGGTTTCTTTCAGCTATATCTCGGAAAGCCAAGTGCCCCCTGGAGCAAAGTGCCCCCCCCCGGGAAAATGTCTGAAGTAATCAATGCACCCCCCCCCTCCATCGCCCCGACTTCTACGATGGAGACAAAATCAATGTGTTTCTTCTTGTTAAAATAAGTCCAAAGTATAACAATGACATTAACAAAAACAAATTAATTAAAGGTTAGTATGTAAATGTATTTAAGAACTGTAACAAAATTAAGTTATAGTTATTTTTACATTAAAGTTACTTTATTAAAAATATCACTTTCCTGGTCTTCAACCAAAGATGCAAACCTGTCAATCACTTGATTAAAATCAATGTCATTCACGGTATCACTATCAAATTGATAGTAGAGCCAGATTAGAAAGCTTGAGTGTCCCATGATAGGTCGTAAATAGTTCTTGATAAGCCATAGTTTTTGAAAGCTCCACTCAAATGAACACACAGACCGTAAGAAACAATTGAAGGCTTAGCAAGAGTATTGGAAGAGCTTGCAGGAAGTCCCTTTCAGCAATGAATTTCATAACATCAAATACTGACCACTCCATGACTTTGTGAAATTCGATATCACCCGCCTTTAGGTGTCTTCTAGGCCATGGTATTTCTTTTAAAAATTCATCCCTTGATAGCTCATCATAGAAAGAGGTTAATTTTGGAACGGACACCAATAACTGACTCTTCTTCACTTGCTGACAGTAGGCTCTTGGGTTTGAACAGCCCCAAACATATCTTCTCCCTCCTTGATCGCTGATGATCTGATCTGGAGTTCAGAAGGAAAGCGATCAATACACCACAGCATCTCCCTACGGTTTTCTTCTCGAAGAGAGAGAGTCCAATATCTATCAATTTTTATCCTGCCATTCTCTTCTTCAACCTTAATCATCTCTCTACAGAAATTCCATATTGGTCTTATTTTAAAAGCGCCTTGTCAATTGCATGTTCCACCAAGCGATAGCGCTTCTCGGGAAGAGGCAATTTTAAGTCCTCTAGGTTGGTAACCACTTTGTCAAGAGTAGAATTAACTTCCTCCAGTAGATCAGTCCAAAGGTAAAGGTAGCAGAAAAACGTGAAATAACAGACAACATATAAAAGAACGTATGCTGTATCAAAATCGTGCTCAAATGTTAATAGGCGGTGCTAGTGACAAATTGGCGAAAATATCAATTTTTGAGTATTTCTGGGTTTCGATATATTTGGATTCAAAACTCAATAAAAAAGGAATTAAATAAATTTACGTTAATTACTAAAAGATATTAGAAACTTTTGTAAATTATATTTTTTGTTAACACTATAAATGGGTAAAGGTCATTAATTATTTTTTTTACTGATTCGATTCATGTACTTAGAATTGACCAACCACGCATCGTATTTGGTATCAATGGACGGCTTTATTTATCAGAATTTAGATAAATATATCTTCCTGTCACTTTAGAAAGTTATCGAACACTTCAATCGGCTTTGAATCGTGGTCGAAACGATGTTTTTCTGACCTAATTATAGGGTCACCATATTTCTGACGCATCAACCTTGAACTTTTAATACAGCATGCATTTGAATTGGTTACATGTGTAGAATATTAACTTGTGATCGGTTATCCGTTTATAAAATTCGTGTGTGTAATAGTAAAATACGATCCTAACTCGTCTGTGTTCTATGTAACAACTAATCTTTATTTCTCATTGTACTCTCTTTCTATACCTCATATCACAAGATCACCCACTCCATTGCTCCAACCAATATTCACACCTTTAAGTTTAAACATTCATGAAAACGACTCACCATGTCCATTGAGTCCATACCACATGACAATAACACAGGCCAATCAGGTCACAAAGTTCACTCAATACACACTAAAATAATCATCAGTCATGCATACTATCACAGTGTGCTCTGAAAATATGCAATTTTTCAATTAGGTGTCACCCCTGAGATGGTGTTACCCAGTGCGGTCCGAAACCTCCCCCCCCCCAGCTACACCAAAGTGCAAAATGAAAATGTAAAGATTTAATATACTAGACCGATTTTACTTAGGCTAAAGGTATAGATAATCCTAGCTAACGTCCCTTTTTATGCGCCATGCATCAACCCGTTTGTATGGCTTATTTGCGCCCTCGAAGGATCTAAAAGGCAAACTATGACCTCCTCACCACTACTTGGCATCTTCTTCTTCTATATTTTGAGGACCCACGATCAATGGATTGATCATTCTGGCTACTATGTTTCAGAGGGGTTCGCGATGTTACTGTGCATGATTTTCTAGGAGATACTTCACTGGTTGCAAGGGCTACTCAGCAAAGGAGTGTTTTGAACTGGGTTTGGATGACTGGAGGCAAAGGCTACAAATGTGTTGAGTGTGGTCGCCTCAACTGTTGCTTTTTGAAGCTTGTTCCAGTCCCGTATTGTCTTTGGCAAGAATGAGGAGCTCTTGTTCCGAGTTCTTGTTTTTGTTAGCCGAAATTGCCTCGTCGCTGTCTAAGGGGAGATGGACGAGTTTATGTTTGATGCTGGAGCAGTGGACCAGCCCATTTTTGATCTTGTACAACATGGTGATCCTGGTTAGTCGTCGTCGTTCTTCCAATGGTGACCAGCCCAGTGTTCCTAGCATGCTGCCAACACTTGAGATGTTTCTGTAGCGGTTAAGTACAAAGCTTGCTGTCCGTCGCTGGACCGCCTCCAACCTGTCGACGCTCTTCTGGGTAGATGGGCAAAACAAGCCATGGAAAATTTTCTGCTTCGTTTACCATTGTCAGCAACTGCATATATAATTTCGTTCTTTGTTATTTTTTGTGGTCAGCTGATGATAAACTACGTTCTCTGGTCAGTTGTAGATGTTTAAGTGCCTTATGAGGTCAGCTGTATATTTTTCTTAGCACGGTTCCTTAATAAGGAAACTGAATCGTGCTGACCTTTTAAGGCGATCATTCGACTGGTTTAGACTGATTTCTAGCAAACCACTGTTTCACGAAACAGGGATGCTATCAAAAGGGCCGTGTGAAAGCAGGGTGAAGGGGGCCCTCGCCCAGACACCAACATCATAGGGACGCAAAATCATCTTTCTAAATGACTTTTATATTCGGGGGTTGGGGCGGCGCCAGTTACCAGTGGCCACAGGCGTAGCTAAGGGAGGGGTGCAGATGGGGGCATATGGCAAGGGGCGCCAGACTAGTGAGGGGGGCAAAATGGGCTTTGATGGCATTTATTGGTTGAAAATAATCAGTTTCAAAGTTGAGGGGGGGGGGGGCGTAAAAATGAATCTTGTCCCATGACACCAAACACTGTAGATACGCACCTGCTAGTGACACCGAAAAAAGGGGGATGGGGTGGTCCACCGAGGTGTCCCATGACACCAAACACTGTATTTATTGGTTGAAAATAATCAGTTCCAAAGTTGAGGGGGGGGGGGGCGTAAAAATGAATCTTGTCCCATGACACCAAACACTGTAGATACGCACCTGCTAGTGACATCGAAAAAAGGTGGATGGGGTGGTCCACTGAGGTGTCCCATGACACCAAACACTGTAGATAGGCACCTGCTAGTGACATCGAAAAAATGTGGATGGGGTGGTCCACTGAGGTGTCCCATGACACCAAACACTGTAGATACGCACCTGCTAGTGACATCGAAAAAAGGTGGATGGGGTGGTCCACCGAGGTGTCCCATGACACCAAACACTGTAGATACGCAAGTGCTAGTGGCGTCGAAATAAGGTGGATGGGGTGGTCCACTAAGGTGTCCCATGACACCAAACCCTTTAGATACGCACCTGCTAGTGGCGTCGAAATAAGTTGGATGGGGTGGTCCACCGAGGTGTCACATGACACTAAACACTGTAGATACGCACCTGCAAGTGGCGTCATAATAAGGTGGATGGGGTGGTCCACCGAGGTGTCACTTTTTTTTTATATGCAGGTGTGGCATTTTCGGACAACTGCAGAGTTTGTATCGAGAAAGGGAGGACGGCAAAAATATTTGCCCGCCCATGGCGGCACTAATATTAGCTGCGTCACTAGGCAGTGTATCTATCGTTACCGAAATAGGGGATCATTTTCATCGGGAAGTGGGGCGGAAATTGAGGGCGCTGATATTTTCAGGAATATTTTTTATTATATCAAAGTCAAGAGGTGTATTTTTGAGTATATTTGAATTAAATGGTTTTTTTTTAAAACTTTTTTAACGCGGGAGGATATTTTTAAGGCTTTGCAGGACGTATTATAGTGCCCAGCGCCATACATAAACTGGATTCACTCAGTCTGTGGCGTGTCCCAGGGTAATCATTTGGCACAAGCTTATAATCAAACCCATACTGGACCATTGATCAGTGCTTTAGGGTGCTTAAGAAAGTCGGGCAAACTCAAAGTGCAGAGGTGAATTTTGGTGCATACTTGAATTTGTGTTTCTTTCAGAAAATTTTGAGGTTGCCTTTCAATTTTTCGGGTGGGGAGTGCCAAAATTAGCCTTAATAATGATCAAAGACATCTTCAATTCAGCTCCAGTAAGACGTATACTAAATTCATTCTACTTGTTTCACCCTTGAACTATACTCACAGCTACATAAAATTATAACTAAAATTTGCAAGATGAGAAAATTCAAACCGTATGGGAAACAACATTAAATAACACCAATACACAAGAAAGACTCCAAATTTCAGTGCACAAGCTACATGGGAATCTTCTTATTTAATGTTTCATACCGAATACTGGCGAAGCTAATTACCAAAAGACTAAA